GATGATGATCGAGCCATGATGTATATTCTAGAGGTGATGGAAATGGAGATGAGCCTTTTAAAGCGCGGGTAACGTCCATATCTATACTGTTAGTTCTACCCATATCAGATACTCTACAGGAGGTTGCAAGATAGACCGTGCACAACGAGGTTCTTCACTTACTCTGTTGCATACATGCAGCTTCGAGGCATTCACAACGGTACTGGAGAGCCCGGGCCTCTTCAGCTTCAGAAAGAGAGGGTATGTGTGATGAGATGCCTACACAAGGGAGAATTAGATATGACTCGGTATATTGGCCACAGACTGTGGAAGACAAAAATCTTGGTGACAGCGCTCCAAAGTGATCAAAAGCGGAACAGAGCGTACCGTAACGTTCGACAAGATTTTCGAGGGCACGAAGTTTGTGCCGCAGCATATCGACCTCGACAATGGCATTGAGAGTAACATGTCGACCTTGATGATTTGGTGACGGTGCAACTGCCTCCGACCCAGTGCCTGTATCAACCTGAGGTCGCTGACGTTGGCCGGCAAGATCAAGATGGGACTCCGGGTCGGATAGGCCCCGTGGAGTGTAGTCATCCCGGCTCATCTCTGGACCAGATCATCTCATCTCGTCCAGAGTCGACTTTTCAATGAGTTCCTGTTGAATGGGCTTGAGCTGCTGAGCATGACTGGTCGCCTTTCTGGGAAGTTGGCTGGCTGGTTACTGTTCGCATCTGCTAGTGGCCATTTGTCGGTGGTACACAACAGAAGGTGGGCAGCCGTCGCCCGAAGCAAAAGAATGAGAGGATTAGAAGGAATAAATTAACAAGACGAGAGCATGAGCCCCCCCGGACGGGCAATATCAAAAATCGATCCGGAGGCTCTCGTGGAGATGTTAGAAATCAAGACGAATGAACGAGCCAAGATTTATCAGAGGGCACGAGCGCACGACATTGCATTGTGCTGGGCCCTCACACCCCAAGGCCCCGGCCATGTGTGAGGCACAGCGAGGGAGTGAGGGCAAAGAGTGAGCAAGGTGGGGCATAGCTCCCCCGTCACGGCAGATTTGGAGATAGTGCCGACAACGATGCGGTGCGGTCTCTGGGCCTGGATCCGTCTGGAGCCCGCAGTTAGCCAGGTATAAAGCGCGGGTTGCAAGGGCGCCGCAGGGTACAACGCTTTGTATTCGCTGTCGAACTCAGTTGATTACAGGAGAGCTTCTCAATTGAAGACTGGGCGGCAGAGTGAGAAAGGGCCGTGCTTCTCAGCCCATGCTGGCACAGTATATGACCAGTTTTAAAGTGCTGGACAACTCAGTGCGAATATTGGCATGTCAGTATCATTGGAGGTATCCCAGGGCCATGATCCCAATGACAGACAGCGGGGAACCACCCACCAACCGGGTCCTAGCAATAGCCACGAGTCCAGGCATGAGAGCGATTCCAGCACCACAACCCTGCCTGCGCGAGCTGTTCGTCCCGTTCGCCCTGCTGGCCCAGCTCGCCCCCTCGTCCGCATGCTCCATCACGGTGACCTTGCCATGGTAGCCTTGTCGGGGTAGTAGCCCCTTCTCGGTCGTAACCCTGTCATGGAAGGTGGCCAAGCCTCCCAGGTATAACGGTTATCGAGCGGGAGGAGCGTCAATCGACGAGAATGTCAAGAGCTGAGCATAGTATGTCTATCTGGCCAGCTGACTTTGGTGCCGACTGCTACATTTCTCGAGAGCCATTGTTTATTACGGATAGAGTAGAGAGGCTGCAGGCACTGAGACAACGTGGGCGTAGCTTAAGCCGTTGCTGTGGCTTTGCGCCCACGCTTGTCATCGTGGGCGGTGCATGTGCATGTTGGCCGATCCTTAGCGTTGGCACTGTCTTTGTTTGATATTGTTTCTTTTCACATTCGAATCGCAGCGCCATGTCTCGCCGCAACGTGGACAGCTTCAGTACGCGCTTGACCCTCCATTACGTTTCACTCTTTTGGCTGAGAAGATTCAGTGGGGCTGGTGATTTTCCTGGCGGTACTGTAAGAACAAGAGAATGTTTGGTGAGGCTACTTAAGAAATTCACAGGACCCAAGGTAGCTCTCACTGCTTTGCTCTCGGCCGGGCTTGGCTGAGTTTGAGATTGTCCGAGGGAGAGAGATTGCTAGGATGATGTGGCGAATGCGCCTAAAAGTTCCGACCAAAACCCTCGGGGTTGTCTAGTCTAATCTGGTTCAGAGTCAGAAATGAGATGACCGAAGAACCAGAGTGGGAAAGCAGTGAGAAAGCACGGAAGAATGTTGACGAGCAAGGCCAGCAGCACCTGAGGAGGTCACCCCATGTTCGTCCCTGTTGTCGACGCTACTGCAAATGGAGGTGTTGTGTTGGAGGCACCTGTGTGTATGGGACTATGCTGCTGTACTGAAAATTGGTAGCGTGTCCGTCTTTATCTGTCTCCAAAGACACGGGCTTCCCTGCATATCAGTGATCGACTACGACCTTGCGAGATCAGCGGAAATTTGAGCGGCCTTGGGAAGCATTGATCAAGCGTTTTTATCTGTCTTTGCCGAGATGACATTATGAAGCTGAGAGTCTGGAGACTATGGCTGAGGCGTCATGCTAATACCATATCCTGGGTAGTAAAGTTTAGTATAGCCGGGACAATTTACCCAATCCCATGGCAATGAAGGAAGCTAGGAGGCAAGTGAGATGGAGATAGTGATGTGTAGTCGCCTGGTAAAAGTTGGGTAGCTCAGGTACCCTGGGCCTGGCCCAAGCTCTTTTGGAGACTGTCAGAAGTCAGAACTGGAGGGGCCTGGTCATCCATTCCTCTTGTGTGCCTGAGTTGGTGATAGGTTGACGGGCAGGTAGGCATTTCTCTTCAGGCATTTTTGGTTGCTATCCGCACTCTTCTCCAAGTTGAAGAATACTGACCTAGGTGCCTAGGTTGATAATAAAAGTCGGTAAGCTTGTGAACATGAGCTAAGAGCGTGCAGTGTCACTGGCAACCCGACAACGGAAGACGGGACGGGATTGTGGGTGTGGAAGAAAATTGTGGATGTCAAAGTCCATGTAGATGTGGATGCTGGATGGCGACAAAATGGACCATGCTCCTTCCCGACTGGAACTCAAAGTTTTGAAACCAGAGAAGGAACCAATAGGAGAAGCGGCTTCTGGAACCCTGGACCGCCCACATCAACGGTTCTTAGGCAGATGCAAGGATGTTAGTGTTTAGCGGCCACGCATGCAGCACAAGTGCACATTCAATCGAACGTGAGTAGAAGGCATGGGCTAGACAGAGCAGAAGAAAAAGAAAATCAGGGAATAGAAGTTTGGGTACTGAGTAGGTTGCTGGATACCTAAGTTATGCCTGATGCAAGCTTTTAGAGGCTATTGCAAAAGCTGAACTGTTTAGAATAGGTAGGTACTTCTCTATTTCCCCCCTTGTTTTAAGGATGAATATTTATTTACAAGAGAAATAATTGCTAAGGGGGGCAGTAGGCACTTACCTAAGTTAGACAAAAACTGGGACACTCTTACCTGTAATTCTCTGCTTAAGTTTCCTGGTTTTTATCCGACCCAGGAAAGTACCTACCTACCTACCTACCTACCTACCTCTATGAAGGAAAGAATGGAAGGTGGGCAAAGGGAAAGAAGCCACAGGGCAACGCCCAACCGTCCCCGCTTCTTCAACCGTCCGTTGCAAAGCCACGAGTTTTGGAAATAACCCTGGTCGACCCTTCATCTCGTTGGTGTTCGAGGCTAAAAAGACAGCCCATGTCTGAATTTATGCGACATTTACCTTAGCATGAGGCATAGCCATCGAGGTAATTAATTCCTAAATTGCGAGCTGGGCTTCTGGAGAAAGACCTGCAGCACCTTATCTTATTACCGCACCTTGCCTTGTTCCCCCCCAGCTGTGCCTACCTTAGCCAAACATGGATTATGATCAAGCTCTTGAAGCCAGCCCAGTCCTGGCGCTCGACGGAGCAAGTGTGTACATTTAATTTCTTTCTTCATCTCGATGACCTCAATTTCGAGGAAAACCTGCAACCAGACATGTCGTATGCTAACTATGTACCTGGGTACTCCGTATGGTTAGTAGGTAAAGTAATCAGAAAACGTCCCCCCACCAGGCAAGTTTGCAAAAGTCACTAAACGATACCCTGGCCTCGCGCAGGGGGTTTCAGAAAACCTCGGAGTTGAACAAAGAATACCAAAATAAACTCATCAAAGATCCTCCTAAGCGTAGCGTTAACTAGCCCAAGCATTTTTATCATTTTGATCGAGGTCCTAAGTTTTATTGCACTCCCTAGGTAGCCTGGTAGGTATTACAAGACCATGTTCCCAGCTCAGCGGCAAACATCCAAATGCCCCAGGCTTAATGTGACACAACGTCGTCGGACCCTACCTTGCTCCAAAGCGTCTCATGGTTCTCGTCTTTATCTCTCATCTCCAATGCCAGCCGCGTCTGCTGGTCTGCTTGTCCCATACGCCACACCATCCAGTCATACCTTGCTGCTGTTACCTGAATCTACCAAGACATGTACCTACTTAGCTACTGTAGACAGCCGCCTGCCTTCCTCTTCTAACCATCTTGGGATATCTCCCCGGTTGGCTAAGCGGGTGTGATGAACGCAAGATGCTGCTTCTGGTGATGCACCTGTCCCTCGGGTTCTGGCCTATGGGAGTGTAGCTGCATGTAGTTGGACAATGCCCGCCTTTTCTTGTCGGCGCAAGTGAATAACATTCAAGTAAATTGACCAGTCCGAAATGTCTCGGTAATGAGGAAGAGCACGATGAAATCATATGTTGATGCTGAGTATGTATAAGGCATCACATTGACGGACCTTGGTTTTTCTCTCACATAGATATGTGGTCATGACCTCCCTGAGGTATTGTATGTGAGAATGTCCATATTTTGTATTAAAAGGACCCATCTACTGCAGGCTCAATTATAATAGCTAAGCATGCGGAAGAGACAACTCATTTATGACCTGTCTACTCCTCTGGTTGTAGTAGCTATCGCTCATGTTGAATGGCTTTATCCCTTGATGCCATCCTATCCGCTGTTGAGCTTTCTTTATATGGTCATAACATTGCAAGAACACGCAACAATGACATAAAACAGGAAAAGGAGACGAAGAAATTCAAATCAATAGAATGGCATCGCGCCCAGCCTTAGGAATGGACGAGGGTGGTTGGCTGTTCGTCATGGACGTAGTAGAGCGTCCAGGGAACGTGGGAAGAGGGGGTCTAGGAAAAGCCAAGAACGGAAACGACAGAGCCGTCGGTTCTGGGAAGCCAGACCTGGATCCCAAAAAGAAACAAGGGCAAAAAAGGCTTCCTTGTAGCTGTTGCTCGTTGTGTCCGTTCCCATTTCCGACGCGTTTTTAATCGTTTCCCCGCCCACAGTAGCCAGAGAGGAAATCTCGCTCTCGCGTATTGATTGCAATCAATACAGAGTATAATGTCACTTGCTCCAGTCCCTGCTTCGATTGCCATGCCATGCTCAGGTGAATGTCTGTGGATTCAGCTACTCGGTGCGCCACCAAGTCTTTTCCCTCAACGGCATTTCGTCGCCTGAAGCTTTTCGGCTGCCATCCTCCTCTCCCTTGTATGCCCAGTATTCACTCAATCGCAGTTCAGCATATTGAGCATAGTCAAAGTCAATCTTAGAAATGACAGCCTGGATTTGGGACCAGATACCCCAATAAAATCCTGGCACTCCTCGGTACGCATCAACCTCGGTCATGAGTTTCCGAACCTCGTCCTCTTCATCGACCTCCTCGCCGGTTAAAGAAAAATAAGATTTGATGTACTCCCTCACAAATGCAAGTCGTTGATCCTGTCTGGGTACAGCCGAATAGTCACAGTCATACCCTGCCCACTCTGCGAAGTGGTTGGCCACGTCAAAAGCCGCAGGCGATGGTGTAGCATACTCGTAATCGATGAAGTCGACGGTAGGGGCCGCCTCATCGTCTTCGTGAATGATAACGTTGGCACAAAGAAGGTCGCAGTGCGCAAATACAAGCTACGCACATAGGTTAACATTTTCCATCAGGTAACTGTGTGGTTATGAACTTACCCCATTCTTGCCCAAGCCAGGCCGCTGGCTCAGTTTTTGGACCATTTCTTTCAACTCTGCCTGCAGCAGTGCTTGCCTCTGCCGCTGAGCGTCCGTATCTGTGGGCAAGGCGAAGATCCATTTCTGCATGGTAGTCCACATATTAGGCGGAGCTTTTCCAGGGGCTGTATTATCAATTTGTTCTTGGCGAGACTTGTTGTTTTCGTCCAGAATACCGTTGGTATTCCCCTTGGTCTGGCTATCACCATTGGTGCCGGTGTTACCGTTGGCAAGTCCATTGAGTTTGGTCTCGCCATTTACATGCCTATCGTCCCGACTATGGTTGGGGTCTGGCAAGCAAGGTACAGTTGCGTGCCAGTGTGCAAGACGACGAGCGATGGCAGATAGTATTAGAGGTTCACGAAGATCCTGGGCACGTGCAGGTTTACCCAGGATATAACGGTACATCATGCCATTCTTGAAACGGGCAAGCAACTGAGTAGCAAGACCATATCTCATGAGCAGCTCATGGTTCTCAGCCTCACGTTCACGGTCAATGAGAACGGCAGTTCCATGACCGTAGGCTCGGAGTAGGATAGCATCCCTGTCAACATCAAGCTTGGACATGCCAGGACGGTGGTTGATGGCTTTTAGCAGAGTATTGGTGATGCCATCAGTGAAACGCACAAATTCAACGTTTGAGTCTTGGCTCGCCCAGTCTGGCATGAGCGTCAGAATGAGCTTTCGAGCAGAGTCCTGTGATTCATTGTTGTCGTAGGCCAAGTCCAAGAAGGGCACATGGCCAAAATCGAGATTGGGTGGTGATGTTGTCATTGTCACACGAGTGCAGCGATGAGTGAAAAATAAGGAGGTGAGGGTATGCGCTGAGGGGGAGGACTGTTGAGAGAGAGGGGAGAGTGAGATGGCGAGGTCCAAAAAATAGGCTGGCCAAAAAAATTAGGAGAGGTATGTCAAGACGTGAGTGGGAGAGTTGCCGGAGTTGTTTGCGAACAAGCGAGTCCGAATATCAAGGCTGAAAAGATCAGGTTGAGGGTTGAGGGGGGGGAAATCCCAAAGCCAGATAGATTTGTTTTAGGGGTTCAGTGGCGTAAATCCGGGGGCGGTCCAGGATAAAGCGGCGCCGGCGACGGTGGCAGTGGGCAGGTCGTACCGTAAGACGGTGGAGAAAGGGGTACCGGAGGCTCAAGGAAGGGGACGGCCGGGGAGCGGAGGGGTCGGCGAGGACGGAATATGAGATAGTGGTGATGACGGAGGGAAAAGGAGTAGGGCACGGTGGTGGTGCAAGCAGAGGGCGATATGGGTAAATAATAAAATGGGAGGGAAAGCACACGACCTGTTACCCTTCCAGTCGAACGGAAGCCGGCAAAAGTTAGGGACCTCGTGTAGAAATAGTAATAAAGCTAAGGCAGACGGGACGGAGCGGTGTTGGTGCTGGCTGTTGCTTTTGTGGGCGTGGGCCAGTCAGAGAGATGGCCTAGACCTTATGGACGAGAAGGGAGTGCCGTTTTCCGCTGCAGCCTGGGACTTTTTAGATACGAGGGAAGGATTTGTCGCGTGTCACTCGTAACGTGGATGTGGATGTGAATGTGAAGCCTAGATGCATGGATGCAATGGAAGGAATATAGGGATTCAGTGTGGATTTATAAATGGTATGAATAGGTACCTTAGTAGGTACCTACCTAGGTAGTGCGTGATAAATGTCGGGACACGGTCTTGAATCCTTTAGCTGAAGGAAGCTGCAAGAAAATACGACTGTCCAAAAAACGAGCCTCGACCGCTATTGCAGTATAAGGTATGATGGAAAGAAAAATTATTCGTCTGCATTAGACTTTGGCCTGGGATCACATGTTCAGGTGGTTATGTTGTCCTCCGTGCCCTGTGGTACTGAAGTCGATTCAACTATCCACCAAAATAGCGCTTCAGCTTGAAAGAAGAGGGCCAACAATAATGTAGCCGGCCGATAGATAGAAAGGGAAATGAGCAGTAAATTGTGTTGTGAATGCAGTTGGCTCCTTCTTTTCCCCGTCTTGTGCGGGAACCAGAATGATTTCTCGCCACTGATATGCAAATAACACTGCCTCCTTCATTGAAATACGACACAATCCAAATCAGTCCAACTGTCGTTTTATGAGTCTGGATAAATTGATACTGCTCTCTACGGCGGTCGAGAGGAGCCAGGCCGTCGAGTTTTCTCTTGGCCCCTGCTTTATTGTCAATTGCCTATTTTGCACACCGACTCGTCAAAATTGACAGGCTATTATTATACGCTAATAAACATCGTGGATATTTTTTACGTTGCTTGATCCCTTACGGTGCCAGCCAAAAGAGCCTGCCTCATTGGTCATCACTTTACGCAGGGTAACGCCTGTGACGAAGAAACAGCTCGATCATTAACGAAGGACATATGCCGATGTTCATTCGCTTCCCTATGCTTCCTATCCCTTCACTTCCGCCTTTCTACAAAGAAGCCAGACGCCACATGAATTGCCCGTACCTCAGGCTAGGGCACCTTAGGGTAAGGAAGGTAGTAGGTACTCCTATGGTTAGGTTATCATGAGCCTCATTTGAAACCCCCACCCACCTCGTACCTCGCCTGCTCGTCCCCTGATGCCCGTGCGTGACCCTCCCCTCTATACCTAGGTAGCACCTAGGTTTGCGAAAGTGTGGCGCTCACGAGGCTCATCTCTCCCAAACACCTGAGGCGTAGTTAGTTCACCGGACAAACTCCATCGCGACAAACCACATCTGAAATAAGTGCCTGCACTACTCGTTCAAGACTTACATCAGGTCAACACCGTTACCACTTCATGTGACAACTATTAGCTACTTTACCTGAGCTCGGTCTTATCATGTGAAACCCGTCATCATGGCTGTGCCGAGTGTTACTAGCGACAATTTCCTCGCCGTTGCTCTTGTAGTCAATCGCTCTCGCGACGGCCCAGCATTTGTGTTCCACTACCCGGCAAACATTGAACCTCATTCCAAGTCAAGTTCTTCTACAGGTGCCGAGCTTGAGGATATTCTTCTTGAACGGCTGTCGCAGCAGAGCTTCTCGGATGTTGCTGACAATGTGCCTCTCCCTAAGCAGGGACGCAATGCAGACGAGCACTCTTTTACTGAATCTGGATCTCAGATTGTTCCATGGGAACGCGTTGCAGGCTTCCCTGCTCGAGATCTTGCGGGCATTCTAACTCCCGCCCGCCCCTATCACAAGAAACTTTTTCAACTATCATTAGATCCGCTATATTGTGTATCCTACCCTATCCATGTCCCCGAAAATGGCAGATGGAAGAAGCCGAAGAAGGCATCCCGCGCCGATAAGCGTTCTGCTTACAATGAAGAACAACCAGCGCCTCATGAGGTCGATCCACCGTCTGCAGGAAAGCCGCCTGAGCAACCTGCAGAGGAAAAGGACGGCAAGAAGGAAGACGGTAAGGACAAGGACGACGAGAAACGCAGTTCCATGACCATGTTTAACCTCGTCTTCATCCTTAACCCTAGCAGTAACGAAGTTAAGGATGTCGTTGAATCCATATACGACCACATTATAAAGAAGGTCAGCAAGGCCTTCAAATACAGCCAGCAACATAGCGAATTCGTGTGGAAAGAGTCAAAACGAATACTTGTCGCCAAAGATAAGGCGCGAGAGGAGCGTATGTTCTGCTCAAAACCTTATCAAATTACTTACAATTAAACATTGATCAGGGAAACGAATGAGTGTTCTTTGGAAAGAAATACTCCAGAGCTCATCACTGGCCGCTGCCATGCACGATATATATGAGGCAGTGTCTCAAAACAAGATCGCCGCTCTGCATCTCGATACTGCAGCTGGCTCTCTGACCCCTTCGGTTCAGATTCCTATTCCTTTCTACATCGATGACCTCCCTCAGGGCGAGGAGGGGACCCAACGCGGCCTTTGGCTCACCACCGCGAATACCTTCATCAGTCAAGATGCCCTCGAGGAGCCTGGCTTTCTTGATCGCAACTTTGCTTTACTACTCACTGATGATGAAAAGAAAATCATCGCCGAGCTCCAGGCTGATCCAGACCCAACTACAGCCTCAATGGTTGAATTTGTACGGCTGTCAAAGCCAACA